AATACAGTCATGCAATGCTTTGAGTCGCCTCAGGAGGGCAGCAGCGCGTACTTACAGTGGAGATTACGGTACCGGAAACAGACAAGAGGAACAGGAACAAGAAGAAGAAGAAGCTCTCCTCCGCTAGCTAGCTAGCTACTGCTGGGAAGTAGCGACAAAATTTCAAGGTATTGTGAATTATTAAACGATATTACTCGTATATGACTGTATATACACGTCGATAGGAGACAATAAAATTAAACAGCACTCGACCCGGATGTGTGTATCCGATATAAATGCACCTAAAAGGTTGACGTTGTCTTTGTTTTGATTCGTGTTGTCGACACTCAGGCTTCAATGTTGTGTTTTTCATCGAAGGCCCGAACTGTTGTGACTTGTGATTTCCGCTGTTGCGTTGCTGTCAAACAGAAGAGCTATGTACTAAAACGGTTATAACGTTATGTGATTGCTATTATACATTGAATTCAGTGGTTTAAATGCGTGAAATGTCATTCTGTCAACTCACAATGTAATCTCTCTGTACTCGTTTAGGATATTACCATAATGAGTTATGCAGAGAAGCCGGAGGACATAACAAGGGAAGAGTGGATGGATAAACTCAACAATGTCCATATTCAGAGAGCTGATATGAACAGGCTCATAATGAACTACTTGGTGACAGGTGAAGTACCGATTATTTATTTCTCAAAGTTTGTTTTCGGTTGTCTGTAAAGATTAATTGCGCAGATATGCACGGTGCTTGGATGTGAACTGTGCAGGGTTTCACCACGGTTTCTGTTCAACAGAGGGCTTCAAGGAGGCAGCAGAGAAGTTCAGGATGGAGTCCGGAATAGAGCCCAGTGTTGACTTGGATTCCCTAGATGAAAGAATTAAGATCAGAGAGATGATCCTGAAGGGACAGATCCAGGACGCCATAGCGCTGATTAACAGTCTGCACCCAGAGCTGCTGGATACGAACCGTTACCTCTACTTCCACTTACAGGTAAAATAACAGAATGCCCGTCACTTTGTAGACATCTATGTTTTGTGCTCTTAACAACTCATTCTGCTGGTCTTCTCTTGTTTTCACTGACTGTTGCAACCTCTGGCTTTTTATATTTGCAGCAGCAGCACCTGATCGAGCTGATTCGTTTGAGGGAGACCGAAGCCGCCCTTGAATTTGCCCAGTCTCAGTTAGCAGAGCAGGGGGAGGAGAGCCGAGAATGTCTGACCGAGATGGAGAGGACACTGGCCCTGCTGGCATTCGACAACCCCGAGGAGTCACCCTTTGGAGATCTGCTCAATATGATGCAGAGACAAAAGGTAGGGTCAAAGCATATTAGTAAAGCTTATACTTCTCTTGTCTTGCACTTGGTTTTTCTGAATTTATATTTCTTAAGAATCAGTTCAAACTGCATGGCACCTGTAATTCACACTAAGTTAAAAAAGCTGTACCATTCTCTGCAGCATGGGGACACTGTTCAGTGTTAGTGTAATTAATAACATATAAAGGAGGACTTGATGTCAGGCTATGATCCACTGTCCATATTTATAGTATACAAAGCAGTAACATGTCTTTGTCCGTGTCTTTCAGGTATGGAGTGAAGTGAATCAGTGTGTGCTAGACTATGAAAACAGAGAGTCGACACCCAAGCTGGCCAAGCTCCTGAAGCTACTGCTGTGGGCTCAAAATGAACTTGACCAAAAGAAAGTGAAGTATCCCAAAATGACAGACCTCAGCAAGGGAACCATCGAAGACCCAAAATAAGGACCCCCCAGTGAAAACATACCACGACATTACAAAATGGACACATTTCCTTTATCTATTTATACCCCAACAAACTGACTCATATAGAGTACAACCTTTTCTTTTTTTGTAAGGGTTGCTTTTTGATACTTTAATAACTTAGAATGTGCAAACTGGATCGATGGCATTTTAAAATGACCTCTCACACTATAGTAACATGCAGACCATTATTTACTTGGTATTATGTTTTACATATTTGTTTATGTAAAATTAGTATAATTCAGTTACACTAGTTTTTCTGTCTGTTGGCAGGGAAAGATGTTGGCATAGGAGGTCGTGAATAAAGCCTAAATTAGGCTGTCACTTTCTGTGTGTGACCAGTTTGATGTTCAGGGAAAATGGTTGGCTCGGTGTGCACTGCCTCAAATAAACACACACTTTTTTCCTTACAGAAGACATACACATTTCAACTAGTAGTTTTTAGCTGGTACTCTATGTGACGGCAATAGCCAAAGCAAGATACTTGGGATCTTTCAAACTACTGTGACTTGAAAGTTAGATTCAGCGTAGGACTCGTACTGCATTACTGCTTGATACATTATAAAACGATGCTGACATAGACAAGAACAGAGAAACTTTTATCGCGGTAGCACATAACAAGCGGGACAAGGCAAGATTCCTGGAATGCTAAATAAGTTTGCAGAATACTGTGACTGTGCGAGCTTAAAGGCAACCTCAGTTTCATACGTTATAAAATACCACGGATAATATTAAAAGATGTGAATGGTTAAATCTGTGTCCACAGACTTGGAGACACTTTTACAGATGGATTATTTACATGTATGGAATAAGTAGCTCTTTTGCAAAATTTGATGTGCTTTTTTTGCTGGGATATTATTTTGCAATAAAAGTGAATTTTTAAACTGCGCAAGTCATAAAGGACTTTAAAGCTTGGTGTGTTTTTAATCCTGGGATTTTCAAAGTGGTACAGCAGCAGAGGTGGGACAGTAACTCAAGTACTGTACCTGTGAACAATTTTGGAGTACATTTACTTTAGTGTTTCCATTTTATGGCACTTCACTACATATGAGAGAGAAATATTGTACATTTGACTCCAGTTATACGACAGCTATGGTTACTGGTGACTTTGCAGAGTAATTTTTCTCACAAAAATATGATCAGTTTATGATATATGATCCACTGTTTCAGACTAAACCCAATTACCTAAATAGTTAAAATAAGCTCCACTCTGGCCAGCTGCAATATGAAAAATAATAATCCTATCAAATGTATATTATTGGGTGCAGAATTGAGAAGAAAGGTTTCACATTCTTTAAAATGTAGAGGTAGCAATACCATTATATTAAAAATACTCCATTACAACTAAAGGTCCTTTGTTGACAGTGCCACGTAAGTACAAGTATGATTACAAAACATATCTAAGTATAAAAGTGAATGTACTCAGTGCAGAAAAATGGCCAACGTGAGTGTCATATCATCATACTTCATTGGAGTACTATTACTGATACATTAAAGTGCTTTCTTGGCAATTGGAAGCAGTGGAGCTTTTTAATTATGCAATGTACTTTTTGTGTATTATAATAGTACATCATATTTTATGAGTTCACATGTTTGTTTCGTAAAATCAACCTGTAAAGTAGTAAATAAATCTGTCAAATAAATGTGGAATATTTAACTCTGAATAGCAGTGGAGTAGATGTATAAAGAAGCATGAAATGGAAATACTTAGCCTAATAAATATGTTCAGTTATTCCATAACTATTAATAAATACTTTAACATAAAAGATACAAATGATCTTTACTTAGGTAAAATGTGTAGAAAGTAACTCAAGTACTTTACAAAAGATTTTAACATTTCAAGCCCATTTTCATATATACAGCTTATTTGCTTTTTAGTTTAAAATTCACTACAAAGACAAGAAAATAATAACTAAACATTAAAAGAGATGTGGGCTAATAGTAGAAGATAATAACTATTAAGTTCTTATACAATGTACGCATTTTTATATATTAAATACAATGATTATAGTAACAGTCTCTCATCTTCTATAAAGCACCTTTCCTCAAACAACTCTTCCCTAATCCTTATTTTTGAGTCACTTTCTCTGTGGATTTTACTTCTTGAATCATACTTTTCCATTTTATTCAATTTGGAGACTTAGTTTTTTTCCACCCTTTATCTGTTTCAATGCTGTGATTCTCAAGATTGCGAATAGGTATTTTTCATCTTGACTAAGAGTAGCTGAAGGCGTTCCCAAACTGATGTGCTCTGCTTTTAAATACAGAGTTGTTTTTTTTAATCTTCCATCAATGTAAATACTTTGAACCAATATGTATTTAATACTTTACACGAGTAGAAAATATGTAAATAGTTAGCATGGTCTTCTCCACAGTTCCTCAAGCACTGAGCTTGAGCTCTTCTATTTTGAGATAATGTCTGGAGTCAAGAAGTAACTCATGTTTATCCTCCAAGCAAATTCCCCCAAAAATAAGGAACTGATAGTTTTGTGCATTTCAGTGAACATCTGTTCCCATTTTGTATCTGTTATTTATATTTCCAACTCCTCTTCCCTTTTTTCATCATGATATTGGTTGTATTTCCTTGTTTGCCTTGTAGAATTTAGTATGCTTTGCTCAACTTGTTTTTGTGTTTTCCATTATAGCTCATAATATGTTTCAGAGGAGGATGAAAGTACAGTATTTTTAGTACTTTCCACTTTGTACTACTTTATACTTCTACTCCACTACATTTTGGAGGCAAGTACAGTATTTTCGCAGATTTGCAGATTTAGATTAATACAAAATATAAATCAATTAATGAATTAAAATAGTATTAAAATTTAAGCTACCCAGAAGTATAATAAGTAATATAAATAAGCCCCACCTTTACCAGCAACACTGAAGTGATGCACACATCACATCACTAATCTAATAATATATGATTCTGAATGGGCACTTCTGCATAATGTGTAGCCTACTTTACTTTACTTTATTTTGATGCAAATACTTTTGTGTTACTTAAGTAAGATTTTGAATGCAGGACTTTTACATGCAGGACTTCCCCCATCACTGTGTATCACATGTATAACTTGAGTAAAGGATGTGAGTACTTCCTCCAGCACCATCCACCCTGTATGGAGCAGCTAAAAGTTGTGCTAAATGCAGAGTCTTATATAACGACTGCCTGCTATCTTACACTGCCAGGGGCAGACGGACCATTTAAACAACCTTGTAGGCACACTGCGCATATCTGTGCTCCACACAGCAGCTCCTCAGCACGGGCACCGTCACGTCTCCATCCGGCAAGGACGGGTCAGGAGGAGACTACATCCTGGTGCTCGGGCGATGCTCCCATAGACGACACAGTAACATTTCTATATTGCACCGTCATGACTGGAGAGGGACCAGAGCCAGAGCCAGAGGCGTCTCTCTGGCGTATTGGATGATACGGAATCGGCAAGGAAAGACAGTTGAAACCGGTTTTGGGTAATACTAAAGAGAAAACACTTCCAGATTAACCCTACCGATCAAAAGAAGAACTGCGTGGCCGGCGGCAGGAGGAGACTGTGGTGAGAAAAACTGACACGTGGATTACTCCTCCTAGGGCATCAGGAAAAACAGACTCCCTCCTCCAGCTCAGTTCCGTGACCATCGCCTGCTGTGTTCCCGTCAGCCCAGCCGCACAGGTTATGGACCAGAGTTACGCGTAGAGATATGATTTCGCACACACTTTATGATAAGGTCTGATTTCTGTCTACTTTTCTCTGACTGATTGACCGGAAACGCATCGAAAGTAAACAGCCGAGGCGGTTGAGAGGAGGCTGCTGGTAACTCGCTGTTGAATGGCAGTTATTCAAAAATATGGCAAGAACTATAGTCCAGATTTGGTCTGTCACAAGGAAAACCATCCGTCTGACAAGATCGGAGCTGCTGGGTGTCACAAGAAGTGGCCTGAACACAACACCAACTGGTCAAGGTAAGGCTTTAATCCCAGCAGAGACACATTCAACAGTGCTGCTTCTCTTTTTCTTTCCTCTTTAATCACCAACGTCTTAGCTACTTAGCAGGCTAACTAATGTCCCCAGAGAAATGTGATTAATCCAAATCAATACCGATACTTTTTGAGCAACTCTTTCCTCTGTAACCCTCTATGTTCCTCTATCAGTAATACAGCCATTTTGCAATTAAAGCACTTCAACATCTGGGGGTAAAATGACACGTATCAACTATGGCGCTTCATATAGCAATACTCTTAAGATGTAGTGGCAGTGCCACATAGATCAAATGGCTCCTGAAGTAGGAAGTAGTCACCATATTGTTTTGGCTCCATCCTCTTAAAGTCATTTCCTTGAATTTCAGCACATGAAATCCCCCAAATTATAGCTGACACATGTATGAATTTAAGTTAAATGGAGATAGAAGAGACTTTAAAGGGAAGCTAGGCCCATTTTCATAAATTCATACATGTTACTACTGTGGCCAAAGACAGTCCAAAAAATATTGTTAAACATGAACAACACTTTCACAAGTCCAAAAACTAGAGTGCTAAACCTTAAATTTGTGATGTCATAGGGTATGGAGTAGGGTCAACTTACACTTCTTTTGGTTGTCTGGCTTCACTAACCCTAACAATGATGTAGCCTCCTTCATATTATATGAGATAAAACGGTGATGATAATTATCTGCGGGAATGTTATTTTTCATCAGAGTGAAATGTCAACAATAGCCTATAATCTTGAATGGGTGGGGGAAGAAATCGATACAGCACAGTTTCACGCTATTTTTGTGTGGCAGTATCGTATCGTCACACAGCGCCAAGTATCGATTTTTTTAATTACATAAATTACTACATCACAAATACAAATTAAACATCAGGTAGCCTGCTAGAATAATGAATAAATACATTTTGCTGCTGCTGCAAAAAAAATGTCTGAACAGATGTTGGCAATGTTTTCCTTTGGGGACATAATTTACAACAGAAAAAGGTAATATACCCCAGTATATCGCAATATGTGTTGTCGCAATACTTAGCATATCACAACATGTTTAAAATCGCAATAATATTGTATCGTGATTTAGATATTGTGATAATATCATATTGTGGATCCTCTGGTGATTTCCACCCCTAGTATTTAGTCTGGAGCTGCTCCATAGACAATGCATGGTGATATATGTTGTAGATGACGTCAAGGGCACCTTAGGGAAAGTCCTGAGTACAGACTGAATCACAAGGATAGTTTACAATGACTTCAGGGTAGAAAATCTATGTGTCGCATACATAAAATCATATGACTCTTAGCAAACACTGCCTCAATTGGCTGGTTTTAAGTAGTCATGGGAATCACCAGAGGATCTACGATACAATATTATTGCGATTTTTAAATATGTTGCGATATGCTGAGCATTGCAATAAAATTTATTGGGATTTATTACCATATTTCAGCTGTAAATTATGTTCCCCAAAGAAAAACTTTGTCAACATCTGTTATATCCAATACAATAAAGTTTTTAGTCTCACTTCAGACTTTTTTTTTGTAGCAACAAAATGTATCTAGTGGATTTAAGATTTAAGCTACCTAAAAATGGACCACCTAAAAATACATATATATATATATATATCAGTTTATATCAGTTGTTATATCAAAGCCACCAAACTCCTTTAACAGAAACAGTAATGTTACTCAGCAGAGCACTTGAGATGCTGGGTTACTGCGGCCTCAGTTGGTTAGTGTGTAAGTTAAAGTGGAGCAAATATTCAAACATAGTTTACACTTACACTAATAATGATTGTTTTATAGGTGCCTGAAATACATTTAGCTGCGGCCCTGTCCACAGCAGTACGTTGGTTATCGTCCGTGCTTGTAGATTTGGTTTATAAAAGGTGATAGCAAAGCAACAGAGTTCATAAAATAAGCATAGCAGAAACATGAGGATGGTGGGACCAAAGTTTATTACTATATGTCTTTAAAAGTTACAGTTATGGCTGAAAATGACAACAGAAAGAAACAAGGTTGCTGACTTTACATATCTCCGCATTTAAAATTAATTACCAGTTGTCCACCTGGAAGTGATTGCTGTTATGTCATGGTGATTTTCTATGGGTACATTTTCATGTTCACAAATATTAATTGAACTTTCCTAATCCAAGGGAATACATCATTGGACTTCTTGAATATGGTTGTGTTCCCCTTTAAAACATGTTGCATGTAGTGCAGACAAACTTGGAGCAGTGCCTTCCCTCCCAAAGTTAGATAAGACCTCCTTAACTGGTTTTAAGTCCAAAGTTTGCCCCCACACATTGCCTCTGCTCAATCTATTCTGTTCTCCCTCTCGTGCAGGCCTGTAGCGAGGGTATGGACAGTGGTGCTGCTGCTTGGGACATGCCTCCTCTACTGCGCCCGTGTGGCGATGCCCATCTGTGCCGTCAGCATGGCGGAACAGTTCAGCTGGAGCAAGAGGGAGACCGGCATGGTGCTGGGCAGCTTCTTCTGGGGCTACTGCTTCACCCAAGTGCTCGGAGGCTACGTCAGCGACCGGTGAGGAGCACTGGAGCTAAAACAGTAGTCATGTTGTAAGATAACAGTGGCCCTGGTGAACTGAACTCTCCTGTGTGTTACCCGGATGAATGCTGACAGTCAAGCTTGTTTTCAGTTGGCACCTGTTTGAGCTTTCTGCTCATCAAGTGTCATTTGCATGAGGACATTATTGGCAGTGACGCAAACAGCCCGTTTGTGTTTGCTCAGAGTTAACTGATAAAACAGTGAATGAAGCGAGATGTTTCCTCTGTAAACACACAGTGTCATCAACAGAAGAGAATTTATTTACTTCAGAACTGCCACACCAAAGCTAATAGTAGCAAAAGTGTAATTTTATTTGTGTAAGTGTAACAGAGAAAATGTTTATGGTGGGAAAACAGTGCTACTAGTGTTACGAGACATCCAAGAGGTCAAAGTTGTGCCACCTCTCATAACGTTTAGCTGATAAAAGCAACTCTAAGGTTAAAGATTATTCAGTATGTCTGTGTCCTGTGTCCACAGGGTGGGAGGTGAGAAGGTCCTCCTGCTGTCTGCAGCAGCCTGGGGGTCGATGACGGCCTTCACGCCCATCCTGGCCCACTTCTGCTCCCAGCCAATTTTCTCCATGACACTGGCCCGCTTCCTCATGGGCTTGTTGCAAGGTGAGATGGACAGTGTGAATGAGACGAATCACATCTCGAGGTTACTGTAAGTCGTTGAGGTGAAACATAATCCAGACCTTGAAAAATGAGTGTATGTGGTTTTTTTTTCAAAGTCCGGAAAGGGCATATACATTCATCTATTTTTAAAGTCTGCTGTCTGTGTTAGGGGACTGGATACAGGCAGACAACGTGAAAGCACATATAGACATGTTAAAGTCATAGTGTTGTTTTTCTCTAAAAGTACATTGTATGGTAAATTTTTATGCAGTGTGACAGTCTTGTTGAAAGACACTTTAAACTGAAAAGCAGTCCAATTTTTGTATTTATCTAAAGAATAAATTGATGACTTATTAATTTATTGAGTAACCATATCTAAATAAAATAGTCATTCATTTCCTCTTTAGATAAATACAAATTGAACTGTTTGTTTATTGAGTAACCATATGGGCAGTACAGTGGTACAGTGCTTAGCATTGTCTCTTCACAGCAAGAGGGTTTCTGGTTCAAACCCGGGGTGGGGGTCATTGTGGGTTTTCTCCGGGTACTCCGGCTTCCTCCCACAGTCCAGAGACATGCAGGTTAATTGGTGGCTCTAAATTTGCTGTAGGTGTGAATGTGAGCGTGAATGGTTGTCTGTCTCTATGTGTCAGCCCTGTGATAGTCTGGTGACCTGTCCAGGGTGTACCCCGCCTCTCACCCAGTGTCAGCTGGGACAGGCTCAAGTCCCCCTGTGACCACCAACAGCATAAGTGGCTACAGAAAATGATTGAATGAGTAACCATATGACATTCAAGCCTCGTTTCAACCCAGCAGTCCGGTTAAGTTTGTTACACATTAAACAGTTTTTTTCCCATTGTCAGAAGCTGTGGATGGTACCAATAAAATCCCTCTGCTAGCACACAGATCTGATACTAAAAGTTTGAGCTAGAAACACATCAGTCTGTTGATTGGTCAAGAGAGAATCATCACTCGTGCTTTACAAGGACTCAGTGCACGATCCTGCTGTTTTTAAATATCCCATTGATTGTGGCATGGACTGCAAGCACTCCTTTTTGTTCTGAGAATGTTAGCGTGTGACCCCGTTGTGTGGACCATCAAGAAGGTGCAGACATTCCTCTGCATCGCCGGTGAAAAGCAAATAAAGGGAAAGCTTAATGGAGCAGTTAGTAACAAACACTCTGCCTACATTAAGAGTGCGTTAAACAGATCTACCATTTAGAGACATGTCTTTAAATTCATTTTAGCAGCACGCACTTGTTTCAAAACCTAGGTGCTTATGTTTCAGCCCGTGCCAAATTATTTGCTGTGTCCTTCACTCCTGCCCTCATTTCCCCTCAGATTTATATGTTTGTCTTGTGTGTTGAGGGTGGTAAAATCCTGGTTTTATTGCCTTGTTTATTCCTCCCTTTAATTTCTTCCAAACGCTAACCAATTATGTTTTGTGTCCTGATTTCAGGAGTTCATTACCCTTCTTTGGCGAGCCTGTGCTCTCAAAAGGTGGTGGAAAGCGAGAGAGGCTTCCTCATGAGCACCGTGGGTAGCGGTTCCTACCTGGGGTGAGTCAAGCGTTATGCAATAAATGGGGATTGTGGGAAAGAGATGAGTGTTTCCTCCGAGGAAATCGCTGTTGTCAAGTGCAAAGAGGAGGGCTTCATTTGAAAGCAGTGCAGATTGTGATATGAAATATTGATTTCATTATCTATATGCAGATGTGTAGACAGTTTTATTATGACATCCTGGTATTTGTTTGCATTCAAAGTTAAGCTCATGGAGTGTATGCGTCTACTCGATAAGAAGGGTGTGTTTTTTTGACTTGTCGTGTCTTGTTGTGACCTTTGATTCTCGCCAGCACTCTGGTGATTGGGGGGGCTGGCTCCCTCATGTTGGACCTGTACGGCTGGCAGAGTGTTTTCTACGTGTCGGGTCTCCTCTCAGTCCTGTGGGCCTACTGCATGTGGAAATATCTGCTCAAAGGAGAAGGCAAGCGAGGCTTTTAAATGTGTCCACGGTATCTTGCAGCGGCTTATTTGTACAAGAGGAGTCAGTGTCCTCTTGTGTGCTCACGTGTCTGTGTTCGTCTGTGTTTGCAGGCCCTATCATCACCCTGGAGTCCCTGGGAAGCGGTGGGCCCCAGTCCAAACTGTCCAAAAGACACTGGTTACGGCTCCTCAAACAACCTGCAGTCTGGTGAGATAAAGATAAAGGAAGTGTGTGGAGTGTGTGCGAGTGCAAGTGCAAACCTCTGTGTATATGTGTGCATTCTGTACTCTGTGTAGCTCCCTCGCCCGTAGGCATAGAAATTTAGAAGAATAATTTAAAAGGAAGAATGTAGAAATGTATAAATCACAGTTTCTGTACACGATGATCCAGCTTTTATATGCACCAGATTTCAGAATAGCGAGCCCAGTCTCTGGCTGCCTTTAATGTCTCTCCTATCGAGTTCTGACGTGTCCTTCCAGTCTCTCCCTATTGCCTGGATATTTATATACTGTAACGCAACTGATATGCTCCATTTCCAGTGACAGGGAGAACCTCTGTGGTTTTATTTGACGTATCTGATCCACCTTGAGAGAAACCGGTTCGATGATAGTTTGATGGCTGTGAGCTTAAAATAGTCACAAACTCTTGATCCTTTCAATCACATGCCACTTGTCTCAACACGAGTATGACTCATATACGAAAACAATAGATGACGAACATGTGGCACAGACACAGGTTTCAGTCAAATCTTGAGAAGGAGCTCAAAGAAATGGGACGATGCCTTTGTTAACGACAACACCGTGCAACCTTTGGTATATCTACAGTTTTTATGAACATAGTTTCAATGTGCTTATTTTGTTTGTTTCTCTCTCTTCATTCTGAACAGTGCTGTGATCGTTACACACCTTTGCACAGCGAGCACCTTCTTCACTCTTTTGTCATGGCTGCCAACATTCTTTAAAGACACTTTCCCAGATGCCAAGGTAACCTTATGTGAACTTTTGATCACATATTTGACCCCAGGATAATAGGAATAAGTAAAGTAAATAGCCACGAGGGTTGAATTCATATTAACATGACTAAGTGTCTACTGTGAGACTGTACTTGGGCGTAGCAGTGCTTTGGGCTAACAACAGCTAACAGCTATTGCTTATGTCAATCAGCAGCCCAGTCACCAGAAGAGAATGTTGGCATTGTACGTCTCTGGATACCACAGATACATTTCTTTTGCACTTTTGTACGTACCATATCATAATTTCTGAAGTGACGTAGAAGGCCTATATGAGCGGGCTTTGTTATCGGGAGGTGGAGTGGATGGTGGATGCCTGACATCCACCATCCAGCCACGCTGTCCAACAAGTCCAACAAACAACAAAACAGATTTTTTTTTAACAAGTCATTGCCGTGTTTCAAGCGCGACTAATGCCACAAAAAGTGGTTGTTTTTTACCGAGATGTGACTGCCTTTCCAGCGGGGTTTGTGCCCTCAAATTTGGTATTTTAAGCCAAAGAATGATCTTTTCCTAACCATAACCAAGTAGTGTTTGTGCCTAAACATAACCACACATTAACCACAGTGTTGTTGAAATGCTGTGATACATTTTAAAGTATCCGCTACATCTGCCACATCGTAATGTGCAAATTTCGTGGTTTGCAGAAATGTACAATGCCATTTTTTCTTGTGATTGGGTTGTAATCACGTATGACGTTAACCATGTTCACCATCTTAGTTTGGCCTGTTTGCATGCTAACATTTACTAATGAGCACTGAACACAAAGTACAGCTGGGGCTCGTGGGAATGTTATTAGTTTTGCAGTTTTGGTCATAAGTATTGGACACATTTAAATTTAGACCTTATGGTGGTGCTTGAGGAAAAGTAAGGTGACTACAGACATAATGGTGCATCAGTTAGAAACCTGAAAATTTAATGCCAATCTACCTGGTAGATGCAGAGTTTTTTACAGGGTAAATAAAAACTTTTACGTGCTGGTGGCATTACGTAGATTAAAAAGTCAGGGATCATCAAAGTCATTGGATTCATCCTCTGGGAACCATGGATAGCTGATATCTCAAATTTCATGGCAGTCTACTTAATCGAGACATTTCAGCCGGATGGCAGTGCGAGATAAAAATTTAGGAGATGTCTGATGATGTCTGTACCAAAGAAAATATGTTGTCTCTCCAGGGTTGGGTGTTTAATGTCATTCCGTGGTTGGTGGCCATCCCGTCCTCCCTCTTCAGTGGCTGCTTATCTGACCACCTCATCAGTCAAGGTAGGGCGACTGATGATGAGCTGATATCAGAATTCTTTTTAGTGACAATGCAGCTGTGTAATTGCCTGTTCTTATCTCTCTCCTGTTCCCCACAGGCTTTGATACAGCCTCTGTGAGGAAGTTGATGCAGGTACGATATTTGACAGTTGCCTTTTTAGTGCATGTGTATGCTATTTGTTAACTGTATGAATGTCTCTTTATACTCCAACATAATGAACTGTGTAACATTGTATTTGATTTGTCTTTGTGTGCACTTGTTCCTTAGTTTTTCTCCATGGGTGTGTCCAGTGTGTTTACCCTTCTTCTGTGTGGCAACACCACCTTCCCCTGGGCTGTAGCATTTGTGTCTGCCACCATGGGCCTCACCACCTTCAGTCACAGGTACTGGCACCTAGAATATCTGTACACTGTTATCTCTCACCCTGAAACCACCACCTTTTATTAGATTTAAATGTGGTGTTGCCCAAGGCTCATTTTTGTGTTTTGTATTGCTGCCTTGAAACCATTTTAAAACCATTACATTCATTTCCAGTGCTATAAGTACTGCAGCACTTAGCAGCCTCTGAGACATGCTGAATTCGTCAAGAAAGTTGGTTAAAGCTATTTTTTCTTGTGCATGCCTCAGGTGAACAAAGAATTTCAGAAACTGAGAAAATTCTTGATGAACAGGAGTCACAGAGGTCTGTGTGTAACAACAGCACAACTATATCAGTTTATAAGCTCTGACGCAACTCATGCAGTATAATCCAAGTCTCATTTACCCAGGCAGATGCTCAGTACTCACAAAAAAATTACTATATAAAACACAAATTGCAGGTGCACTACTCGTCTGTGCCAAGACTTTTTATGCAGAAATGTTTGTGTTCGGGAAGTACTGAGCATATGACATGGTAAATGAGACTTGGGTTAAACAGCACGAGTTGTGTTAGAGTTTGTAAACAGATGTTTTTAATATAGTTTTGCTGTTGTTAATCGCAGACCCCTACGACTCCAATTGATCAAGAATGTTTACTGTACTCCTCCATATTCATTGTAACATAGGGTGAGTAACTGACATGCAAATGGTCATATGAGAGGGTGAATTATTCCTCAAGAGTGCAAAATATTCCACCACCTCCCACCACGAAGTGTGTCCCAGGCTCCACTGAGCTTAACTAGGGTAGAATTGGCAGCATCTCAGCTTATATTAGGCTTCAGTTAGAAACTTTGGTCTGCTGTTTGACCCACCAAGCGCCTCTGATTCACTGAATGTCTCTGTGTTTTGCAGACTTAATCTAACCACATAAGGAAAATTGCCAAATGTATTATTCTTTAAAAGGTCATGGCTGCTAAAAATGGGTCACTGATATTAACTGTCATTTTTAATGAGACTTTCATATCCAGAAAGTTTTTAGAAATCATTACTCAAATGGAGGTAAATAGTACATTGTTGTGGACTATATTCAAGTGCAGATTAAAGGAATACTTCGCCACCCAGATGACCATTTGTATATCAGTTACTTCTTTCTTAATGAACTGAAGTCATAGACAGCTGCATTTAACAACAGCAAAACTATATCAAAACACTATACTACAAACTCTCACACAACCCCAGACTCCATTGACAAACAGTAATTTTACTTCATTGAACAATAAAGCTGCTGGTCTGCCGCTGTTTGGATCAGTGCGTTTGTGTTATTGTGTGACTTTGGTGAATCCTTAAAAACTAAGCCTTTAAAACACTAAAGTCAAGGCAGTGGTGGACCAGCAGTTCCCAAGTTCAGGGAGTAAAATTACTGTTTATGTAAGTGGAGTCTGGCTTTGAAGAGCATTTAGATAAGTTTAATTAGGTAAATTTCATTCAATGTCTGAAAGGGCTGTCTGTTTGGGAAGTACTGAACAGGCAACTGGATACATGTGACTTGGATTATACTGCACAAGTTGTGTGAGAGTTTGTAAAAAGACACAGACTCATGTTTATAATAAGACAAGATACATATATCAGTAGACTTAAACTTTTATACTGTGAGTACATGTGCTTCACTTTACAAAACAAAAACACAGTTTCATACAAAGAAAGGATGGGTGAATAATCTTGGGTGTTTTGTTACTGAGACACAACCAAACGATGACGAAATGTGACCACAAGTATGGGGAAGCGTCAGCTGTGTGGTTGGTCTTGTTTTTCCTGTTTGGTGCTTATACTGTCGATTGAACAGTGGCCCAATATTTTTAATTGTCTTATTAGTTAATTTCTAATTCAATATGGATGTTTTTTGTACTTCATTTACTTCTCTGATGTTAAAAAGTCATACTAATAAATGCTACTAAATGTAGATTTTATTTCACATTTGTGGAGTCCCTCCAGGTCCACAGTAACATCACTCTGACTGGATATTTGAAAAATTCCAATACCAATACCAAAACCAGTACCCATAAAGTGATACCAATACCAAGAGTACCTCATCTGATACATTTTTTCTACTTTACTCAGTACCCATATGTGAATGAAATTATTCAATTGCATAAAATGCCACCACCACTCCTCCCCATCCAAATGGTTTTTACAAGAATACATTGTAAAAGTGTTCAGATTATTAAAATATATACTCACCAGCCATTTTATTAGGTACACCCGTTCAACTGCTTGTTAACACAAATAGCTAATCAACCAATCACGTGGCAGCAACTCAATACATTTAGGCATGTAGACATGGTGAAGACAGCCTGCTGAAGTTCAAACTGAGCATCAGAATGAGGAAGAAAGGTGATTTAAGTGACTTTGAATGTGGCATGGTTGTTGGCACCAGACGGGCTGGTCTGTCAGAAACTGCTGATCTACTGGGATTTTCACACACAACCATCTCTAGGGTTTACAGAGGTTGGTCTGATAGAAAGAGACAATTACAACCAAGGTCTGCAGAAGACCATCTCTGAACCAACAACACGTCTAACCTTGTAGCAGATGGGCTACAGCAGCAGAAGACCACACCAGGTGCCACTCTTGTCAGCTAACAACAGGAAACTGAGGCTACAGTTCACACAGGCTCACCAAAACTGGGCAATAGAAGATTGGAAAAACGTCACCTGGTCTGATGAGTCTGGATTTCTGCTGCCACATTCAGATGGTAGGGTCAGAATTTGGTGTAAACAACATGAAAGCATGGATCCATCCTGCCTTGTATCAGCGGTTCAGGCTGCTGGTGGTGGTGTAATGGTGTGGGGGATATTTTCTTGGCACACTTTGGGCCCCTTACTACCAACTGAGCATGGTTTAAACACCACAGCCTACCTGAGTATTGTTGCTGACCGTGTCCATCCCTTTATGACCACAGTGTACCCATCTTCTGATGGCTACTTCCAGCAGGATAACGCACCATGTCACAAAGCTCAAATCATCTCAAACTGGTTTCTTGAACATGACAATGAGTTCACTGTACTCCAGTGGCCTCCACAGTCACCAGATCTGAATCCAATAGAGCACCTTTGGGATGTGGTGGAACGGGAGATTCTCATCATGGATGTGCAGCCGACAAATCTGCAACAACTGTGTGATGCTATCATGTCAATATGGACCAAAATCTCTGAGGAATGTTTCCAGCACCTCGTTGAATCTATGCCAACAAGAATTAAGGCAGCTCTGAAGGTGAAAGGGGTCCAACCCAGTACTAGCAAGGTGTACCTAATAAAGTGGCTGATGAGTGTATATTGAATAACTGTACAAACAACTTTGTCAAATAGACCAAGCTCAGCCTCAACCCACCACAGATTCCATGGGTTGTAGCTGCTGCGGTAGTGGGCCAATCACATGCCACATTAACTCAAAGAACGCTTGAGGTGATTGGCTGCGAGCAAAATATTACGAATAGTCTTTTGTCCTTGATCTGGGCACAAACAGGATCAAATGCAGGGTTTGTTTGACTGGAGAAGTTTCAAGACGACTCGGTACTGGGTTAAAGGTATCAAGTAGTGATACCCAGCCCTAAATATAACCCCTTTTTTTTTAGCTTACTTTGTAAAGAAAGAAAATGGATTGGTTTCATTCACAATATAGATGCAGTCTGATAGCAGGCTGGGAGCAGAATACAAACTGTCTATGATACATTTCCCTGAACACAGACATTTATTTCCTCCTCTGCTTCTAATCATTTTGTGGCTGAGATTTGTCAGGCCGATTATTGGTATTACACTGATGCAATTCGGAGTCAATTTATGGCTGATGAAATGGCTAATGAAATGTATTACTCTTACAGCGGCGTATCTGTAAATGTTCAAGATCTTGCTCCGTCCTGTGCCGGAGCTTTATTTGGTAAGTTAAAAAGCATTTCCAGAATTTTTATGAAATTTTCATTCATACCAAACATTTCATTTGATCATTTTTTTAAACCACAGCTGCAATTTTGATAAAGTCTTGAATTTTACATCTGTGTATCTGCATTTCTTTTACAGGTGTTATGAATACATGTGGTGCTTTCTTAGGTGAGTTTCAGGCAGGGACGTCGGGAACAAAATACTTGTGATGAATCTTTCACCAGCAGTTGCTAAATTGCACCAATCTATGAAGTGAAATAATTCACCGGCTTCTTTAAATTCAAACTTTGAGCTGGTGTGTCTGCTGTCACGCTGGCGCCTATGTGCCATGCATATTTCATCAAGGGATCATAATGGCGGTGTGTGTCAGATGAATAATACAGGGAACAGAGGATGACAGTTTGTGGTCCTGTGAGGGATGTGTAATGGACTGTGACATTTTCTCTGCGGAAAAACTGAACAGTCACATGGAAGATACTGAGAGCTCTGTTTAAAGCTTTGTGATAATGTACTATTAATGGTGTGTGTGTGTTCTTGTGCAGGGGTCCTCCTGGTGTATTTCTCGGGATATCTCATCGAGGCCACAGGCTCGTGGGCATCCGTGTTTGCCCTTATTACCACAGTCAACCTGCTGGGCCTCTGCACCTTCCTGGCCTTTGCTGAGGCCCGCCGGGTCGACATTGACTCCAGTAAAATCCGCCACCACAACATCCACATCTAAATCATCACGCCATCAGAGGGACTAGCGTGCTAACCCCTCAAGGGAGATACGTCCTTGGGCAACCAGCAGCTAGGACATTACCCACATTGGAAAACCAGCCAATGGATGGCAAGTGGCACACGGATAAAGCCCACATATAATGTGGGAAACTTTGACTGGCTCTGTGTCTGGTTGAAGGAGTACTGCAGCCGTTACTGAAAAGCACACAGCACAGCCTGCACACTGTAACTGAAAAATCTTGTGGAGCTAGAGCGTCTAATCCCTAGAAAAACACAGCTGTGTTAGAGGATGCTCCTTTAGTTCAGGGTGGAATGGGAATGACAAGAGTCTACACTACCTCCAGGTCCCAGCTTGTGCAGTACGCGGTGGTTAAACAGGCGCCGGGCTGCTGTTCACGCTCGTCATTTGTTACAGAATGTGTTACTTGGAACGAGATGGAAATTGTAATTCATGTGTTATCATACATGAGAGTGATGGATGTATTAGTCTCAGGAGCTTTTTGACAGCTGTGACAGACCAAGGTGGTGTGTTCTTACCCTGCAGGGGTGGGGGAGGCGGTGTGGGCGCACGTGGGTGACGTGGGGAGAGTCCAGCCTCTCCTACCTGAAGTCTTTTATTAGTACGCCCCACTCACCCATCACTGTCTGAGTGACACCTCATTACCCAGCCACTAATTACTCGGCAGGCGCTCTAATGTCCTGTACGATCTACCGTTTATAGTCCCCCGTCTCCATGGTTACAAGCCCATCTTATTGTTACAGTCGGAGGAGGTGAAAGGCGTCATGGGGAGCTGAACAGCAACACAGCCTTGATGGAGTGTATTCTCCCTGTTTGTTGTCTCAAAGAATATGTTTTGAGTAAGACCAAAGGTAATATATTTTTTTTCTTTCTATGTGGTTGCATGTAATAGAAATACCTCACTTAATTATTTTAAGAACTTATGTATTTATATGGCTTTCTGATTTTTTTTTCACACTTAGGTGACAGGAGAAATAAATATATTAGCTAATATGACCGAAGATTATGTAAGTTATCAACAGTATGATGCAGTATGAATGACCTTAAAGAGAAACTTTGGTATTTTCAACCTGGACCCCGTTCACCTGTGCTTTTTGTCTAAGTGACAGTTTTTAAAGCTGGTCCAGTATTAGGCAAAGACAGCTACAGCCGCAGCAGTGAAGCAAGCTGCACTATTATCCCTGTGGGCATTTGTGCGCCATCTATTTACAACCACTAAAAGTGCTTGTTTTTGCCACTGATAGGCTCAGATGTTTGATATTGTTACAAAGTCTCGCTCAAAGAGAAGTCTCGTTCTGAAATCTCGCACTTTCCCACATCATTGAAATCCGTTACATACGCAACATGTTGAAAATCTTTTAGATAACATTAAGCTATAGTTTCCACCATTGTTTGTACTGCAACAAGTCACCTCCCGCAGGATTTCAGAGCGAGACTTCTCCTTGAACTGTTGGGTCTTTTCCTCAATATTGTCAGACACTTCTAATAACAATCTGAGCCTGTCAGTGACAAAATCAAGCACTTCTAATAGACGTAAATTGATGGTGGACAATTGCCTGTTGGTATTACATTGCAGGCGGCTCTCTCAATACTGAACCAGTTTCAAAAATTATCTTCATCAGTCACTCAGACACAAAAACATGGAAATATGAGGTCCAGGTAAAAACATACCGAAGATTCCCTTTATTAGACTTGTGTGCTTGTCTAGTTTCCTCACTTATTTTCTTTTCTGACCTGCACTTTGGTCCATATTATCATTTTGGTGAAAACTTGATCTCTAACTTTTTTTGCATTAAATCATCCACCTTTATCATCGCACTTAACTTATGATTGTTACCTAGACGTTGGACAGGAAGTGAGTCAGTATTTTAGAGGGAGATAGTTAGCGCAGGATGGTTGTCCATTCACCTGTCACGGTGGTGTCAGAGCTAGTGTCTGTCCATTCTGTCTCATGAAGGCAAAGTTAAACAGTCTCCATGTTACACACTGACACGATGAATGTTGTGGTGGCAGGTGGGAGAGGACTCGAAATCAGGAGAAGATTTGGCGTATTGCTGTAACTGTAAAGTATGTAGCAACGTAAAGCAAGCTGCATAGCTCTGGCTGAATGTTGAAGAGATTGTAGCATTTAGCTTTAGCTCAGTCTTAAGATTTCATTTTCATTCTCAATGCTTACTTGACACGCGTACCTTTAAATCTATGCATTTATTATTTTGTGCCTGATTTAAGCAATGAGAGAAGATTTATTGACTATTGTACATCGCTACATTTTTGCCTTCTTCGTAGGAGTTGTGTTGCTTCTGTGCGACTCGTCATTGTTGTTCACATACGTTTACATTGATGTTTTCTGTAAACACTGGGAAGTGTATCCTTTGGCTGAATATTTTGTCGGTGTAGATTACATTTCTGAAATGCCCGGTATGTTTCTTACATTGTCTTGGTCAGTGGTTACAAAAATTTGGGTATAAGAAATTAACAGGGTTTATTCAAACCTTCCGAATAGGGCCGGGCGATGCGGAGAAAAATAAACTTCACTATATATTTGACCAAATACCTTGATATCGATATTGTGACGATATTTTAGGGTTGACTGTTGGTGCTTTTACAGAATATTTACGCAATGAGATTTTGCTAAATAATCACAAGTAGGTAAATAATATAACAGCTAGAACAGCTTTATAAGTTCAGAAAATGACATCACTTTACTGTAATGCAGCCTTTAAAACCAGGATAAGACACTTGAGATGTTACGCTATCTAGCCTCATATCACAATATCGATATAATATCTATATTTTGCCCAGCCCTATTTCAGAGTAAAGATTCTGTTTAGAGTAATTTATTTTGATATCTGATTGAAATCGGATATCTGCGGCAAATGTCGCTCTGATTCTGTACCTTCACTATGGTTTATAGTGATCATACTCGACTTGTATGCCTTGACCTTTAAGATACACCATTTAATTACATGGTACAAAATACTCAGCCTTCAACATTTATTTTTTTAAAACCAAACGCCCCACATTCCTCAGATGTTTTACTCGCCTCAGCAGATGTGCACTCTTTATAACTGCCTTCACTGCTTGTCCCCTTTTTTTCTGTTTACTGTGCTGACATCCTGCAAAATGTAAACATGTGAAATGACATGTGAAATGACTGAGTTCTGTTCACCAACATATCTCACTGTAGGTTCCTGAAAGCCTTCTGACAAATCCTTTTTGATAACAACGTGTAAGATACGTATGATAAAAAAAAAAAGAATACAACCATTCAAGAAAATGCAGTATTCTGATGCTTTTAAGATGTGTTGTATTTAAAAGCATATATTAACTTTGAATAAAAATATATTTTGTCAGCAGTGGTGAGTTGTGTCAAGTCAGTCAGTTGTGCTGCACTGTCTGTGTGTATTTCCTCAGTGGTGCCACAGAGAGGCAGCATAGTATCGGCAATGAGGAGAGCACATGGTGCCATCTAGTCCCTGAATACTTTAAGCTACATAGAAGGCCTCCATTCTACCATGGTAAAAGAAAGTTTTCATTAATATGACTTAAAGTGAATATTCACGATTATACAACAGATTAATTTCATACACCTGTGTACACAAACAGATAAAGACTGAGGAAGGTTTTGCCACTGTGAAGCTGAGACATTTGTCTGTACATCAGCAGCCAATTCTGCGTATGGATCAGCTGCTGAACATGGTCTAGTGCAGGTCTGTCCTGTTCACACCAGCGGCTCACTACAGGCCCAGATCCCCGAGTCCGGGGCTAGCAGGACGTATGTGGTGGCACCATATGGCAGGATGCTGTGTGCCATGTTGGCTAGCTGGCACTGCCCACGTGCGAATGGCCAGACGCTAGTCAACCCAACCCACTCCCTTCTCATGGGACCGAACGGCTCAGGTTGCCATGGAGACGGGTGGCTTGTGGCTGCCGCGTGGCAATGAAAAGAAAGGGAGGGGGTCACAAGTGAGTGAAAGTAACAAGTCAGATAGAAGTCAGCAGAGTGGAGTGGAGTTGGCAGAGAATTTGGCTTTTGATGTATAGTTCATACAAAAACAGCCACGGCGCTAAAGAGGTGGTCAGTCACTTATTGGAGTGCTCTCGCTGACGGAAAATGGTGTTGTAAAAGCAGACATAATCATGATGAGTGGCCCACTATTTAATTAGCAGAGATGAAACACTGTGAGGGTGAGTGTAGAGGAGAGGGGAGATAAACCCTCCCCCAACTTGTCGGCTGGTAAGAGTAACCCAGTAAAGGCAGGCCCCATCAGAGAGCCAGAGATACATGTAAATGAAATAGCCCCATTAATTAGTAATTAACATCAAGTTAATGACATTTCACTGTGTCGCCATCTCATCCTATGTCCTTCCTCTGTGGTGGAGGGGCTGCCTCTGCGGTCCCTGATCTGAATGCTAATTAGCGCAAAGCTAAACTGCCATATAGGGCTACCTAATAATATAGAGGCCCTGTTTAAGACTGGTCATTGTGTGGGAAGGATTAATGACTTTGTAGTGGTAGATCAGGAGGCTTTATAAGTCTGCCACTCCTTAGAGGGCTGTGATATTGAGGGCCATTGACAGGTTTTATGTGCTAATTGCGTTGCGCCTGTTAGCCTAATGTTGGGTTATCCCTTATGACTTAGAAGAACTTTAACCATTCTCCTACTTTTCAAAAATATATCCAAGAAATATTTCTGTTAAAGGTTCAGTTTGTAGGATTTAGGGGGATATATTGGTAGAGATGGAATATAATATAATAAGTATGTTTCCTTTTGTACATAATCACCTGAAAATAAGAACTGTTGTGTTTTTGTTCAGACCAAAGATTAGTGACGAGATGAGTTGCTTGCAATGTGCCGCTCTGCAATGATCTAAAAACCTGCCGATCCACGCCGATGCAACTAGATGAGACGGTGTATCATCTCTATGCAACAACTCTCTGTACTTCTGTTCTGATTTCCAGCCTTTTTGGCTTATTTTGTGACTGAATATAATTTGTAGCTTGTTAAGATATGAATGAGAACCGTGGTAGTGAGATACTGGCTACAGTTGCATTTGTAGTAGTGATGAAACGGCGAAAAACAATATTATAAATAAGCAGCATCAATTAATCAGTCAATGAGAATGTGTGTGCGTGAGGGGACGTAAGCACATACAGCCAGCAGAAGCAATGACCCACTGTCTGACACTGGCACACCGTGAGGACGAATACAGAGGGCTTGGCGAAGATGGAACTCCTGCCGCAGCAAGCGAACACGCCGTCTGCAGTCATTTTGACTCGACCAGCGGACTTCTCTACACCTGGCTGATGAAACAGGTGACGTGCTCTACATTATAAAACCAGCCATCAGCAATTTGACCAGCTGAGTTGCAGGTGACACCATCAACCAGACTGAGTCAAGCTCAGACGGCCAGTTCACACCACTGCAACTTTTCTCTGCAACGTTCTAAAACGGTTTCGTCTTGTCGCGAATCTTTGGTCTGAACTGGTCTTCAGAATGAGCCTTTTATATCTATGTAGGGAGTAGGCCCTCGTCTGCGGAGATTGCCATGTTGCACCACCTTGTTTCTACAGTAGCTTGGAAGGGAGGAACCCACTGCTGGCTCTAGATGGGGCCATTTACTTTTGTGTGTGGGTGACCGTAGTTAGCAGCCCCTCTGCAATGTTTTTACCAGTTTAAAACACCGGGGCCGAGAGGAAGAGGCTTCTGCGGATGATTCAGTTCCCACTAAAAACCTCCTCAACGTCTGGATCTTAAGTCATCAGAGAAAAAAGGTGAGTACATATTAGAAGATGTTGAGATAGCAGCCTGTCTCTGATGAGCTGATCAGCATTGAAGAAACACTGATTTTTAATGTGAAACTGCTTTATTCAGAGTCAGATTAAATCTCCAGGTCCAGGTGATTTGGAGAGGAGGGGACAGATAATTCTCCCGATAAAAACCTCCTGAACACTGAAAAAAATCTAACCGCAAGAATTTTCAGATGGCTGTAATCTGCAATCCCCACCTCTAGATGCCACTAAATCCCTCTAAATTTTACCCACTGGACCTTTAAGTGAGCATAAAATGGTTTGGTACGTCAAATCTAATTATTTCAGTGTCTCGCATGGATTGATGAAGTTCGAGGGCCCTGCAGTGGATACACTCATTTGTTTTGGGTCCCCTCCTGAGCCTGAATCAGCTCCGTGACAGAGGTAATTTTACATGATTTGACTGCAGCCAGGGACAGTGTCTCTGTGAAGCGAGATGAAACATGAAGTTAACACTCTGTACACAGCGGTGTTCCTGGAATGGACAAGAGTGTCAGCTCCAAAATGAAGGAAATGTATTCACACATTGATGTGCAGGGTTATGTCCTGCAATGCTAAACTGTGCTTTGAATCCGTGGCAGTTTTCTCTGTCTCCATTATGAATTAGTCTTGTTTCCCATCAATATCTCTGTCTGTGTCTGCCTCTGCCTCTCTTCTCTTTTGCCCTCTTTCTTTTTTCTTTCCAAACTCTGTTCTGATACACAATTGACCCTTTAAAGGGATCCCCTGAGCCCAAGCACGTCCACCATTAGCACACCACACACTCAGACCCGCGCACACACACACACACACACACACACACACACACACACACAACCAAATATGTTGATTTCTGTCAATTAAACCCCATCAGCTGTTTGCCTCCTGCTAGACATATGGCCTGTGTTAAATCTAAAGAGCAAATGGAGCCGCTATTGAGAGGGGCATCATTTTAATGGAACCCTGAGGGACAGGACCCACACCTGCGCAATAATAACATTAAACCATGCTCAACCCACTGGCCAGATGAGGACAGTGCTGGTTTGTGTGTGTGTGTGTGTGTGTGTGTGCATGGACATGGTATCAGCACCACCAGCAATAGGAATATTAGTTTTTACAGAACAATATCTGACCCTGACAGTTTTTGTGAAGCTACCATTGCTGTAATGTCTGCCTCTATAGGCTCCACAGGTATGTTTGGTTTGAATCCTTCTTCACAGTGTTTGTTTTGTGGTTTCAGAGCTGCACCAGGAGAAGGGCAGCTTAGGCTGTTTTCAGCCTCTAATATTTGTTATTATATAAGCAGAAAAAAAAGAAAAGAAAGAAAGACACAAAAGTACTCCATCACTGCGGTCCATCTCTCCCCCCTGCAGACAGAGTGAGAGCACAGAGTTTTCTTGTTTTTCCTGTTCTTATTTTGCCAAATGAATGGTTACAGAGTTCACAGGTCCTAAGTCAGAAATGGAGACAAATGACTGAACAAATGTTTAGAAATATAATTTTAGAAAACAATATGGTGCTATGCCTTTGGCAGGGAGCATCACATGCTTAAGACAAGAGGAGAATAAATGAAATACTCTGTGTAAAAAAAGCAAATCTTTCTGTAACTAAACTATTTTTGTTAAATGTGAATCTTACCATTGACTGTGGCAAACATAGCAGTAGAACGATGATTGTATTATTATACTTAAATACAAGGGCGTAGGTTTTGTTTCAACACTGGGGGGGGGGCACATATGAAACAGGAGGTTCTCTGCCAGAAATTTTTGAGCATCAAACACTTAATTTCCTGCATTCTGGTGATTTTTTGAGCACCAATTAGTGCCTTTTCTCATCAGTTTATTGTGTAAATGTCTTTGATTTAATTTTACTTTCATGTGTTTATTGGGGGAGACAAATGCACATGTTCATCGTGTCCCCTGGGTTCCCACAGAAATCTACACCTGCGCTTAAATATATTTTTAGTGTGGCTGCAGCTAGCAATTATTGCAATTATCGCTCAATCTGCTCAATTAATCGCTTGGTCTATAAACTGTTAGAAAACATTCTAATAGCAGTCAGTCAGTTTGCTATCACACAGGACAAAGAAAAGCAGCAAATCTTCACAATTGAGCAGATGGAGGCACAAAATGTTACACATTTTCGCTACAAAAGGATTCATTGATTATCAAAAGGAGTGCGGGTTAATTATCTGTCGATCGACTGTTTGCTTAATCAACTCATTGTTTCAGCTCAAAGATAATGTAAAGTGCACGTACAAGCAAGTTTCATATTGTCAATCTGTTGCTATGTCTTGAATCGAGAATGATTGATTATGGATGATAGGTATATTTAAGTAATGAAGACAAATCAGGTGAGAAATCGGTTCAGATAATAAAAGTAGTGAGTTGTTTGCCACAAAAAACATCCTAGATTTTTTGTAGCTTGTTATATATAGATGGCCTGCAGATCTTTGGCTGCAACTAACATTTACTTTCATTATTATAAAATCTGATGATGATTTTCTCAATTAACCCATTACAATTTCCCAGAATCCAATATGATGTCCTCAAATTGCTTGTTTCG